AAATAAAAAGTGTTACATCATGTTACAGTTTTGCTCGTCACTGTATGTTAGTGTTTGGCCGAGTTTTATTAGCCCCTCAATTAATACCGTGCCCAAATTATTTTGTTGCGTGCCATCAATGGCGCGCGTGCCTTTGGTTCGCCAGCCCTGCCTTAGATGGAAATGAGATAGCAAACTGGCTTGCAAAAAAAAAAAACAAACAGCTAACAGGCTAACCTAATATTCGCGGCTTGCGTTTTGGTATGCACGCCGTAGAATTTTTTGTTTTGCGTCACCCGAAAATGGCTTGCGTGCGTTTGCATTTGATTTCATTGAGCGAAATGTCAAATCAAAATGTCACGCAGAACAAAAATTGGAAATTGAGTTAGCTTCATACGCGCGCCGTTCAATTTCGGTTGGTCGCATACAAGTTGTATGTGCATGAGAAATTTTTGACAGTAAATTGGCGGCGTGCGGGAATATTAGGTTAGCCTGTAAAGGCCAAGGAACTGGCAGTTTTCCAGGCTGAAGTATGATTAGAAAAATATGCGTAAAGTTAAATGCGCTTAGAATTTTTTAATTGAAAATGGCAAAGGCAATCGTTACTAAATATACGAAAGTGGTAAAGTAAAATAATACTCCCAAGAGGCTACAAGTTCCAAGATTATTGAGAAGTTTTGTGAGGCGTTGTCATCTCTGTACGCGTATTAGGCCCAATAAATAGCATCTGGTCACCCTATCGCACGCATAGTGATTGTGTCACAGTGACCAGCCTCCAGTCTCGGCACTTGCCAGCTAGAAGCCAAAATCACACACATTTTTTATGATGTACTATTTCGATAGAAAATGTGGCGTATGAGCATTGCAGCAACAGCAGAAATAACAACAACAGTATTTACAACAAATACAATACCAACAATACAAAAGCGCATACAGGCATACTGAAAGTAATGTGTGTAAGTAGCAAGTTGCGGTGGCAACCCACAGACCTACTAACTGAAATAAATCTTACAAGCATTAGATTTTATTTTTCCATTTTTTTTTTTCTTGCGAATTTTGCTACCAAATCTGCTTGTAGCAGACAGGTACAATAAATGTAAAGCTGCAGTAACAGTAAGCAGCCAACAGAGTAGAAGGAATAAAAAAGTAGAATTTGAAGAAAAACTTGCCACAAGCTGATGGCATTCTTGTGCAAATCAGGCGACAAAGTGGGATACAAATAAATGTATTCATACATACATGCATACATACAAATAGATATTTATGTATATGTATGTATATTTATGCATGTTGTAATGGGTCGTAGTTTTTTAGTTGAACAGTAAATTCTTGTAAAAATCTTTGGAATTTTAATAAAAAAAACAAAGACTAAATGAAAAGAGGTATAATATTATAGCGGTACTCACTGGGCGATTCAGCACCATGCAACGGACTCTCACAGTCCACAATCAATGCCTCATTATCGGAGTCGTCGTTGTGCGAAACGGTGGTGGCGCCGGGCACAAATGGTTCCATATTGCCGCCTGTAGCTGTGGCAGCGCTAGTGCACGGACTCGAGGTGCCCGATGTGGCAGCCACATCGATAGAGTCATCATCATTTGTGGCGGCGGCTTCCAATTTCGGTCGTTTAGTAGCCGGTGAGCTGCCGATGGAGGAATTGGCGTCTTCAGCGCTAATGCCGCTGCTGTTCGCTGCTGGTATAGTAATGCCACCTGGTTGTGATGTCGCCGCCGATGATTGCTACACAGAAACAAATACATATAAAAAGATTAGTAAAAATTAAAATAAAAAGAGGTTATTGTAATTTAATGGTCTGGCGGTGAAAAATTATTTAAATAAAATTAATATGAAATCTGTTTCAATTAAGGAATTCTATCAGCAAATTTTATTGTAAATATGTAAACTTTAACAGGTGACAAGAACATATATATCTACTTTTTTCTTGGTGCAATATAAGCAAGCAATGCAATTGTATCATTCCTTTGCCCAGCCAATTTTGCCTACTACTTCCTAAGGCACAAATATACGAATATATACCTCGTTTTATATTTCCTTACAATTTTTTATTTTGCGCTCCTTTTTTGCATGCATTCATTTTCGCATAAACAAAACATTCAGTCAATTTGCCATTGGCAATAATACTTTCCGCTAATTTGCGTTCTAGAAAGGTTTCTTTAAAGCTGTCATTCACTTCCAACCAAGCATAACTGTTGGTTGCGTAGAACGTGTCATAGCTTAAGGAGCACACCATTATAGTATTTATAATTGCGTGAGTACGTGTGAAAGAGGTATTCAGAGCAAATAAGGAGCAATGGTTAAAAAAGCCAAAAACAGAGAAATTTTAATAGGGAAAAGAAATTATGCAAATATTTAGCTAAAAATATTCCATAAGAACGCCTCGAGCTCAGAGAATTTAAAAACAATAAATGTTGCTCTCACTAAAAATAAAGAACACTTTTGTGCGTTAAGAATATAAGCTAAAAAGTAAATAGGTAGACATTGGAGAGCAATTAAATAAATACAAAATAACTCAAATTATAAATTAAAATTAAATTTATTGAAGTACATTTTCGCATTCTTCAACAAACCACAGTAATCGGATTTCAGTAAGTGCCAAAGAAGTACTGGTACGATGGACAAAAAAGAAGTGCTCGCGACCGCACTACGGAAATGAAATTTTCCTGGATTCATTTCGAATTAATTTTATGCCGTAACAATTTCTATTACGCTTCATAGTCTAAGTAAATCCTCCTATTCGTTGTAGTATTCTTATTCGTTTGTTGTTGTTGTTGTTGGTGTTGTTGTTGTTGCTGCTGCTGTTATTGTTGTTGTTGTTGTTGTTGTTGTAAAAGCATACAAATTCTCCAGAGCTTTTGGGAAGTGACACTGGAGTGACAGTCCTTGGCCAGATATAAATCTGAGTCGTTCCGATTAAGTAGACCCGACTATCGTGGGAACACATTCGTCCTCATATTCGACTTAACATTCGTTTTCGTATTCGCATTTGTCTTCCATATTTTTTCTTTGAATTCGTTTTCGTGTCCCTATTCGTCTTCATTATTGTCGTTGTTGTAGCGGCTTACTCAGGGATGAAACGATACCATGCAAGTATCGACACCTTTACTTTGAAGTAGTATCGAAATAAAGTATCGATACCTGAACAATATAGGACCTAAAGTATCGATACCTATTCATATCGAGACTTTTGGTTATGAAGGTATTCCTTATAAACTAAATGAGTTAATTTTTTTTTGTCATACGTTAACTATTATCTGGGCATACTAAACTCCAAACTATATGTTTAATGATGGTTGGTATTTAACACAGACAGTTGATTTAAAAATATTAAAAGAAAGTTAATCTCGTTTAGAAAAAAAAATTGCTCATAAAATATTTCTGAGAAAAATCCTTCTTTTATTGTAGTTTCCAGGAATATAAGATTTCCGTTAAGTGGAAATGTATTTTTATGTCTAAAATTTATGAGCCAAAGATCTAAATAAGATAGTTTCAAAAATATATCCTTATTACTTCACCTCGTAGAAAGAATTCCACATACAACTGGTAGTGTGAAGAGAACAGAAACAAAATGATACTGATGAAATTTTACTAAGGCTGAACCCACACCGAAGACGGCAATGTTTGTTGGTGTCGTATAGAGCACGAGTGCATACGCTCTATTATTCCACCCATACCAAATGAGTTGTAACACGACACAGATAGGATAGAAGAAAATGTGTTCTTGTTGGCCGACAACAAAGGAAACGTTTTGTAGTCATCGGTGTGGGTTCAGCCTAATAGAAGTTCTTAATAGCATTTAAAATATGAAAGATTTTCTGGTGTGTAGAATAATTTTTCTATTCGACATCTTCTTTTCTGAAGACTAGATACGAAGATGGCGTTTTAATATTTTGGAATATTTCAGTTTTTTCCAAGATTTTTTTAACTCTTTGTATTATTTTTACCCTACCCTTGGAGCGTGTATTCTTTGCACTATATCGACTTTGTCGCATTATCGCGATTACCGCTGGCAATTAAGCAACCATAAAGAACAAAGTGCCTCATATTCAGAATAACAGTGAAGGAAAAATTCCGGCATGAAATTTGCCTTGGTATCAGGTTTCGATACGAGTATTTGTTTTTCGATACCTGCTCAGTACTTGATTCAAAAGTATCTATACCGAAATTACTTGGTATCGATCGGGAAGGGTCGAGTATGTACTTTTATTTACTCGTATCGTTTCATCCCTAGGCTTACTTAGTCCTGCCTATACAAACTTGTTCCTCGATCGTTGTCGTCAAGCTCAACCAACGGAGGGCCCACAAAGCGTATCACTTCGACGATGTTAGACCAGAGGGAGTGAGGCGTTATTTGGGTTGGGTTTTTCGAAGATTAAGGTGTTTAGAGTCGTGCCGAGACTCTTCACATACCGGACATTCATTAAGTACGTCAGAGCTCATTATGGCTAGGTATGAGTTAAGTCCGCTGCAGTAGTAGAAGAACGAAGTTGAGCAAGTGCGGTGCATGTCTCCCGAGACAGTTGAAACTCTGTCCAAAATTGGGCTCCGAAAAACGAGAAATTTCTCAGCAAGACGAATTCATACAAGGTGGAGTAACCGGAGCAGCTGATTACAAGACAAATTATGCTGGTTGTTTGTTGTAAACTTTTTGTGTTATGATTTCCATCGTGCGTATAATATGTTAGTGTAGCCTTTTCATTTGTGCTGCCGCTAGTACCTTGCATAAATTCGCCTTGTTTCCCAGCATTGTGCATTGTATTTATCGTGCCATCGATCGAATCTTGGCACCGATTTTTTGAGCAAAAATCGCTCCCTATTCGACAGAATGCATTTGACCATGAAATGGCAACTCTTTATGAACGTAGCAGAAGGATGTGGTGGTCACTGACCTTAAACACTCTTTTGGAAAGATTTTTGATCGCGCAAAACATTTTATTTAGTCCGCAGAGGTAACATTGACTTATGCAACACAAAACTGTGGTTTGGAATTCACATTTATTTTTCTGGAACTCATTTTATGTTGGAACTAGCCCTTATCTTATTACATGTATTAATATGTAAATCTAAAACTAAACCATTTTTTGTTGCATGCTGCTGGTCTAATAATTTTCTCATCTAGTAACAGATTTACACAATATTAGTTAGTCTTTAAGTATATACCAAGTACCCTAGGCTGGGTCTACTCTTTTTAGAAACCAGTCGCGCTATTTTTTCAGCCCATGGCATTTTGTTATAATACACAGACACATTTACATACATTCATTCATGATTTTCAGGGTCTTGAGCCAACAAATAAAAGAAAAATATATGCAATTCAAGGTAGGCCAACGAAAAATTCATTTTCTTGCCATATTGTCTTCAGCAACTACACTATTTATACTTAAACAAATGACTGACGATTTCCTCCCCCTACTTGGTTTTGTTCATTGCAGAAACTGAAGACTCATTGTCAGTTAAAGTAAGTACAAATATAGTATAATCAGTGTTCCATTGAACGCACAAAATCATTTAGCGAAACCGATGAGTAGAATAAAGAAAAACAGACAAACAAATATTTCACGAATAAGGCACCTTAAGGACAGAGGCGGTTCATGCGGGTGGCGGAAATTGCGGCCACCAGGGGCCCCGAATTCGATGGTTGAAATAAAATCGAATCACTATTGAAGTAAAACTTATTTTTCCGCATGAGGGTGGTTCTTCAAGAGCGCAAAATGACAGATTTTGTTTGATTCAAAAATGTCGTAGTTCGTTTCGTTATTATCTTTCTTTGGTAGCTGCAACCAAAAGTTTATTCATTTTTTTCTGCATTCACTTTTCGTTTGCAACTTTTCTCTCAATATCTCAAGAAGAATGAAAAGCTTATGACGGTGAAGAAGTTATCGGACACTAGGTGGCCAGCTTAAAGAAGGAAGTCAGTGAGATGACTGCATTATATTTTGACTAGCAGAGTGGCAAGGGTAGACCGCGAAAGACGAAAGCGCTTTCTGATGAGAACCAGAAGGGAAATCGCCTAAAAAATGAAGACGTGAGAAAAGGAATTTATTCTTGATTCATTCAATGTAATTTGTGACAATCTAATAAGAGAAGTTGTTCGTAGAGGGAAAGCATACCTATATATAGTGAAAATGTAAATATGTTTTCTTCGATTCGGTTCTGTTCTGTTCAAAACGAAGCGACTGGGTAGAAACTTATAAGGATGGCATATATGATATTCAATTTAAGACATTAACTTCGTTAAGAAATGAAGGATGTTTATTGTATTGAAAATAGAAGTGATTATTTTCAATTTCTTCAGTGCTTTTTTCGCCTATTTCAATTAAGAGGGCCTCAGATTTGCTTCCGCCAGGGGCCATAGGTCTCCTTGATCCGCCTCTGCTTTAGGGGTTTCCAAAGTACTAAAGATAGCAAAAATACTAAAAAGAAATAACACTTAAAACGTCTTCCGGCCAGAACCGAACATAGAAGGGGACTCCACATCGCCAAGGAGAATAAGGCAGAGAACTTTAAAGAGCAAATAAAATTGTTGCAGGTGGAAAAGGGTTGATGGTAACAACACAGCAAGAAATCAATGAATGACAAAAGTAATGAAAAAAAGAAAGTATAAAATTAAAATATATGAGAAAAACGCTCAAGTGAAAAATAAGCATGAAGAAGAACACAAAATGAAAGGAAGAAAAGTAAATACTAACCATAAACCATAACTGGCACAAATACTGGGGAAG